CTTACCTACCAGGCCTAACCAGATGCCAGCTGGTGCTTACAGCCCTCACTCTTTAGGCCTCACAACAACCAGAAAGCAGTAGTGATTATAGTGATTATATATGATCGTCATTTGATGTTATAAACCAGGAAACAGAGGCTGGGAGAGGCAGGGCCTGGATGGAAATCCAGGCCTCCTGCATTTCAAAGACTGTAGCCAGGAGATTTCCCTGTGGCTTGCATTCTGCACAGCTACAGGCCTTGTCATGGGTTTCTCAGCTTCTGCTGACGGGGACAGGAGCTGGAATGGAGATGGGGGCACTGGGACAACAGAGGAAAGGCTTTGGGAGGTCCAGGCAGAGCAAGTCCAGGCCTGGAGTCTTCTCTCCTTCTGATCAGCCTGGGAAGGACTGGAGGTAGCTGTCAGGAGCTGTTAGGGGATCAGAGAGATAGGGTAGGCCTGAGGGGTTGTTGGAGGGGAAGCCTGGGACTCCTGTTGTCCTGGAGATGGCCAGGGATTGGAAGGACAGGTCTTCACCAAGGTAGGAAGGTTTCTCCCTCCGCTGCCTCCTACCCCAGATACAGCCCAGTTGGAACAGAGGGAGCACTGTAGATGCTGGGGTCACCCCTGAGCAGGAGAGAGATAGGAGGGAGAGGTTCAAAGAATCAGAGGAAGCTCAGCTGTGGGTAGAGGTCATGTGCGGCACTGGAATGAACATAGGCTTTGGAGTCTCAGAGACTTGAGCTGTGAGCACAATATTGCCACTTACCAACAGGAGACATTGCGCCCATCACTTAGCCCTCATAAACTCAGTTTCCTCAACTGTACAATAGAAAGAGGATAAAGATTAATTAAAAAAGTGATATTGGCCAGGCATGGTGGTACATACCTATAATCCCAGTGGCTCAGGAGGCTAGGCAGGAGGACTGCAAGTTCAAAGCCAGCCTCAGCAACTTAGCGAGGCCCTAAGCAACTCAGTGAGACCCTGTCTCTAAATAAAATATATTTTTAAATTTTTTTTGTAGTTGTAGATGGACAGAATGACTTTATTTTATTTATTTGTATTTGGTGCTGAGGATCAAACCCAGTGCCTCACGCATGCCAGGCAAGCATTCTGCCACTGAGCTACAGCCCCAGCCTTAAGTAAAATATTTTTAAAAGGGCTGTGGCTGTGGCTAAGTGGTTAAGCGCCCCATTCAACTTCTGTGCAAAAAAAAAAAAAAAAAAGTGATATTAACAAGGCCAGGCATGATAGTAAGTGCTGTTATCTCTTTCATTTCTCACAACAGCCCTATGTGAGCATGTCACTCTTACCTTCATTCTATACTTGAGAGTTGTGAGGCTTAGACAGGTTTAATAACTTGCAAGGGTCACAGACAGAAACGTTTCACCACTGTGCTATTCTTCCCCTGCCTGGGGTACCTAGTGCCTTCAGGTGCTATGAATTTAGCACTGGGTGGGAAGGAACAAATTCCATCTCAGAGGCCCCAAAGCAACTCACTCAATTCTCAGGGCCCTTCCTACATACAACTCCCTCACTTTTTTTTTTTTTTTTTTGGTACTGAGGATTGAACTTGGGCACTCAACCACTGAGCCTGAGCCACATTCCCAGCCCTTTTATTTATTTATTTATTTATTTTGTATTTTATTTAGAGATAGAGTCTCACTGAGTTGTTTAGGGCCTCGATAAGTTGCTGAGGCTGGTTTTGAACTTGTGATCTTCCTGCCTCAGCCTCCTGAGCCAATGGGATTACAGGCATAAACCACCATGCCCAGCTAATAAGGCCTGTTTTGACAAACTTTACAGTTTGCAGAACCCTTTCCCCCATATTATCTAATATATTCTTCTAACATCTCTGTTTTTTTCCATTTAATGGATGGGAGAGCTGAAGCAAGAGAAACATAAGTGCCTAATTTAATGTCAGGTGGGAAATAGTAAAGTTAGCTCGGAGCTCATTCTGGCCCACCACAGTTGCTATCAAAGCCCCGGGAAGAAATATTGCTATATTAGTTACTTTCATGTGTGAGTGTGTTTGTGTGTGTGTGTGTATTTCTATTAAAGATCAGATTAAAATATTTTTTTCTAAATATAGTAATACATGGTTAAAAGGTCAAAACGCCAATATGGGAGGCTGAAGCAGGAAGATTACAAGTTCAAGGCCAGACTCAGCAACTTAGCAAGGCCCTAAGTAACTTAAGAAGACACTATCTCAAAATAAAAAAATTTAAAGGCTGAAGATATGGCTCAGTGGTTAAGCAATCTTGGTTGGTTCAATCCCCAGTACCAAAAAAAAATTATAATAAAAAGTCAAAATACTCTATGCAGAAGAGTTCCAAATAATTCACATTGATACTCTATCCTCAAAGAGATGCAGTGCAACTCCCATTCTCTGAGTGTAGGTTTCCTATAGTGACTTCCCTCCAAAGAGTACAGAATAGAAACAGGAGAAAAGAATACGTTTTTCAGAAGAAACCTGCTAATAGTACCTCGGCCAGGTGATCAACACCAACAGTCACAGGTCATGTTCACAGGAAGGGCTCTTGACATGACATGACAAAAACTCTGTCTTTGGTCTTCCTCCTAAAAACCCATAACCCCAGTTCAATCACAAGAAAACAACAGAAAAGTTCCAGTTGAGGAACCGTCACAAAATACCTGACCAGTACTACTCAAAGCTGCCAAGATTCTCAGCCACAGCGCAAATCTGAGAAACTGCCGCAATCAAGGAGTCAAAGGAGACGTGATGCATAAATGTCATCTGGCATCCTGGATAGGATCTTGGAACAGAACGGGGACATTAGGTAGGAACTAAGAATGTGTGAATAAAATATGGACTGCAGTTAATGATAATGTATTCATATTGGCTCGTTCATTGCAACAAATGTACTATGCTCACATCAATAAGAGAAAACCGAGGGGACTCTGTGTACTATCTTTACAACTTCTTTGTAAATCTAAAACTGGTCTAAAAAAATACAGTTCTGTTTTTTTTTTCAAATCAAAAAATTCAAAGATAGTCAATGATGTTGGGAGCAGTAATGCACACCTGCAATCCCAGCAGCTCAGGAGGCTGAGGCAGGAGGATCACAAGTTCAAAGCCAGCCTAAAAGCAAGGTGCTAAGCAACTCAGTGAGACCCTGTCTCTAAATGAAATATAAAATAAGGCTGGGGATGTGGCTCAGTGGTTGAGTGTCCCTGAGTTCAATTCCCAGTACCTCCCGTTCCCCCAAAAAACCCAAAACAAAACAAAGTAAACAAAGAAAAAAAAAAAGATAGTCAATAAATATTTTCCCTCCCACATTTGGGCAGCTGTTCAGTTCTTTCCCAGAGAAAGCAATGTGTTTCTTCCCAGAGTTTTTCCAGTGAGGGCATATGGGTTAGCTTTGTGGAGGCCACAACTGGGCCAGTGGGTCTCAGTCTCAATCTTGATCTCTGCTGGCTTCCAGCTATGGGATTCGATCGATTATTTAACTTCTCTGTACCTCCTATCCTCCAAGCTGGAATCCTTAAGATTGTTGGGAGAGGTAAATATGTTAAGGCATATAGTAAGCCCCTTATAAATGATTGCTAGGATTATGATAAATATACAAGCAAATATATTTCTGCAACAAATGTGTTAAGAATGAAATAATCAAAGTTTGCAAATCAAATCCCCCCTGAGTTACTAAGTGCCCCATAAAGGTATTTCATTTCAGATCATTGGCTAATAAACTTCATTTGAAGGGCTTTTTTTTTTTTTTTTGTACTGGGGATTGAACCAAGGGTCACTCTACTACTGAGCTACATCCCCAGCCCTTTTTATTTTGAGACTGGGTCTTACTAAATTGCCTGAGCTGACCTGGAACTCACAATCCTCCTGCTTTAGCCTCCCATGCAGTTGGGATTACAGGGGTGTGCCGCTACGCCTGGCCTAATTTTACAATCTTATTCCAGCATATTTTCTTCCACTGATTGTCAGTAATGGTCTTTCATTTCTTTCTTTGATCCATCCTTCTGGTTGGCTTATTAAGTTGTTAACTACATCTTGGTACTCTATATTTGTTTGTTTATCTGGTACTGGGGATTCAATCCAGAGGTACTTTACCACTGAGCCACGTCCCCAGCCCTATTTTGTATTTTATGTAGAGACAGGGTCTCCCTGAGTTGCTTAGCACCTCGCTTGTGCTGAGTCTGACTCTGAACCCACAATCCTCCTGTCTCAGCCTCCCAAGCCACTGGGATTACAGGTATGTGTGTAAGTCATATTTATAAAATTGGTGAAAATTTTACTTTGACAAATAGTGGGATGACATCCATGCCTTTCCACCTCTCAGTTATTATCACTTTAATTCATCTTGAAGACAGCTTTATGTTGTGACCGGATGGCATCAGTCCTGCCCAGGGAGGAAGAAACTAGCTCCAGATATATTTGGAATCAAATTGATAGGAAGATAGATTTTATTCAAAGCTAGTTTTAAAGGAAGATAGAAGAAACGTATTGTGGCATAAGTTACATCTTTGAAATCCCTGAACGTGAACAGAGCTTTAAAGGAGAAGCAGTAGCAGTAGGGAAGTGAGACAAAAGGCAGGAAATGTACATATATAGATTTTGTTAGCCTGTGCTACACAGGACCGGGAGAGAGCTGTCTTGCCTCTCAGCTTCTTAGCATCTGTCAGGCCAAGGAGGGGGCAGGGAGGCAGCCCTTCAGTCTCCATTCTCAGAAGGAGAAAGTTGTTCCCAATTCAGATTGGGGCCAAATTCAGTTTGTTTCAATATCAGGACATAAAGAACTTCCTTACTCTAGCTTTGTAATGCATTGCACAGAATATAGTAATCCGCCCCCAAATGTTAGCCAATCCCCTATTGATGGACACTTAGGTTAGTTCTACTCTGCTATTACATACAGTGCTATAACAACTTTGTACATAGGTTGGAAACCATTTTACTTAGGACTTAGGTAGAGGTGGATGGGGGGGCAGAAGTATCTCTAGGCAAGAATGCAGCATAGAAAAAGGCCTAATTACCTGCTCCTATCCTGGCCTAGCCCATCTTCCCCTGATCCTGTGCCAACCTTGCCTCCTCCTGCCTCTTCCTCTCCAACCTGAGCTCCTGGTATCGCCAGAGAGGAAGGACCAGGTTATTATGCCCTGAAGACTTGGACATAAACTTGTATTGTCTAGGGGCTGAGGGTGCCTTGGAGAGGAGGATCTTGGGAACTTGGGACCTAGTGCTAGTACTACTCCTGGGCTGCAGCCACTGCGAGAACATGCCCTGAGGGCTCTGGTAGGGAACAAAGACCCTGGGGCCAGGTACTTCCTGGGGGGGCTGGGGTACTGGAGGAGGAGGTGGGGCAGTACCTAGCAGTTCTGGCACAGACTTGCTTCGGGTGCCGAGTGCAGGTGGGTAGTCAGGACACAGTGTGTGGCAGGCAGTGGCGAGGAAGGGACTGGCCAGGCCCGTAGTGATGGTCACAAGGTGGTCCAGAACACCCCCCTCCTGAGGAGACTGGGCAAAGGAGAAGCTCAGGGTGGACTGCAATCTTTCTAGGAAGGAGGGAGCAACCTGGGCCTGGGCTTGCGCCTGGGCCACGAGCCCTGGCAAGGCCGGCCACTCGAGCTGGTAATGCTGGCTCAGTTGCTCTACTCGGGGCCTCTGCAGCAGCTGCCGGATCCTCTGCACCGTGTCGAAGCTGTCAGTCAACAAGGCCCACTCCAGGGCAGTCTTGCCCCGAACAGGATCCACAGAGGTCAGGTCAGCACCTAGGAAGATGCACAGAGTGACAAGTGGGTGGGAGAAGGAATGGTGGGACTTGCAGAAGAGCAGAGGCTTGAGCCCCAGGACTGATTTGTGTTAGATTCAAAACCAGAGAGTCCCAGCCTGCGATTGCTACTTCTTGTTCGAAAGAGATGAAGAGACTGAAGTCCAGACAGGGAAAGGACTTCTGAGAACTATTGGTGTCTTCAACCCAGAGCCGAATAACAGCCTCTGGAATCCAAGAGGCTGAGCTGAGGAGTAGAAGACGGTTGCTCAGCCCAGGCAGAGGCCCGCACCCTCTTGGGGAGGCATGTGGGGTCAGGTTCTGCTGGTCCCCTCTCCTGGTTTGTTTCTTCACCAGCACACCCCTCCATCCTGGGGGTGGGAGAGAAGCAGTCACTCTGAGACAAAGGAGGCTGTGGATCTCCCTCCTGTCTCATCCCAAAGCCAGGGTGAGGGAAGGGAAAAGCTGGAGGCGCGTATCCCCCGGAGTGACCAGCAGAGGGCAGCCCCACCTCCAGGAATAACAAGGGCCCACAATCACAAGGGCTTCGCCACCCCCTAATTCCACTTGGCTACCAGCCTCAAAGGCCACATCATGCGTCTCCTAGGGGCCAGGCTTGCCAGAGTTGAAGGTCATTTTAGACAAGGCCAGCACCCTCATGATGGTGAGGTCCAGAAAGGAAGGCCACCTGCCTTGGGTCACTCAGTCAGCAGCAGGGCGAAGACCAGAACCCAAGAGTGTGGTTCTAGATACCAGCCCTTTTGGGTTTGGGGTTTTACAGCTGGTCTAGGTTATTCTCCCAAACTTTTCTTCCTGAGATCTCCATAAACAGAGCTGTCAATAGCTTGGTTTTGTTCATTGTGAGAAGCCCACAGCAAGCTCCCCTCCTCCAGGAAGTTGGCCTAGATTGACCCTCCATCTCCACCCCTCTCCTCTTTGCAACTAAATGATGGCGGAATTAACGTCTGGTGGGGAGGCTTCCGGAGGGACTGGAGGTCACACATCCAGTCCAGGCCCCCTGCACCTGCCATGAGGAGGGCAGCCACACACTCCGATCGGTTCCTCATGGCAGCCTTCATCAGTGCTGTGAGTCCCCGCTGGTCCCGGCGCTCTAGGTCCAGGCCCGCGTAGTAGTTGAGCAGGAGACTCACCAGAGAAGCGTGGCCTGCAGGGCACAGAGGTGGAGCTTGGCTTCAAAGCAAGGGGTGACAAGATTCCCAAACCACCCTGCACCAGACGCCACAAAGCCTGGCGTGGACCTTGTGCACCAAATGTGGGGCTGTGGCCCTGATGGCTGGTGAAGGGTGGGGGTCAGCAGCCTCGCACCTGCTTGGGCAGCCAGCATGAGGGCCGTGTTCCCTTCTTTGTCCTGATGGTTCACATCGAGGAAAGGACAGCGACTGAGCAGGGCAACGACACTCGAGAAGCCGTGGTAGCAGGCGACCATGAGGCCTGTCTGGGGGCAGGACAGCTCAGCCCTGCTTTCCTTCAGGGTCTCCCTTGTCCCCCACATCTGTCCAGAGCCTGTCCCAAACCCTGTGAAGTCCACCCTCACCCACCCTCTTCCTCCAGGCAGTGGGGATTGCCCCAAAACTCTCTCAGAGGCTGACCAGGGTGATGTGGGGGGATACCAAGCCCCCTGCCCCCAGCTGCCCTGGCAAGCACCTGGAGCTCCTCACCCTCCCATTGCTGTCCACTTGGGTGGCCTCCTCTGGGGAGACCCCAACATCCAGCTTGGCCTGGAGCTGGGTGGGGTCATTGTGGACACAGGCCCGGTACAGGGCCCCCAGCTTGCAGCCTGGGGTTGCGGTGCCCTTGCTGGGGCAGGATGGTGCCTCAGACATGGCCACCTTCCCCCGGCAATGGCAGACCCTCCTCCTCCAGTCTGGGGCCAGAAGACAAGTCCTTCCTCATGCGGTTGGCAGCAGCTATGGCAGAAGGGAGAAGAGCAGAGTCTCCCTGAATCCGAGGGATGGTCCCCCAGCTGCAACCCTCTCCCCAGGGAAGGCCTTTCTCCTGCAGGGGTTTCGCCCATGCACCAGGTGGAGGACAAAGGACAAGCACCGGGTGGCTGGGGATCCAGCAGAGGACAGGGTGTCAGTGAGGTTCAGGGCAGGGGTCTGTCTTTTTTTCTCTTACCTGGGGCTCTGAGGGTCCTCAGGAGGTGGTCACTGCTGTGGCACAGCCTGGGGCCCAGGAGCACTTCCCAGATGCGTAGGAGCACACTCACTAGGTCTCTGGAGTGGCTGGAGGGACTGTCCCTCCCCAGGAAGCAATGCAGATAACAGATGGCTGGCTGGACTTTCTCAGAAAGAGCTGCTGCAAACACCTCAGGGCTGAGCTGGGTCAAGCGGGTTAGGAAGGGATTGGGGACCTGGAGGGGCAGGTGCTCTGTCTTAGCCATCCAAGATCCGCCCCAAGAACCTGCCAGGCCGAGTCGCTCCAGGGCAGCTCCTCCTACCTGGGGCGAGGTGGGGGCGGCTGCCCAGAGTAGGACTGGCACGGACCAGATGCGCTCACCTTCAGCCTTCTGCGCCAACTGAATGCCTCCAAGACAGAGCTTTTGAAGATGGAAAGGTTGTGGGGTCTAGGCCTGAAGTCCCTCCCCTTTGATGGAGTAGATTAGGGAGGGGGTGGTGGCAGGAGAGTGTATGAGTGCAGGTATCCCATTAAATAGGGTTGGGACTCTGAGGAGCACTTGGAGTGGGGGTCTTCAGAAGTCACCTGGACTGACTTTCTCTTTCTTTCTTTCCCTTTCTTTCTTTCTTTCTTTCTTTTTCTTTCTTTCTTCCTTCCTTCCTTCCTTTCTTTCTTTCTTTCTTTTAGGTTTTGGGGAAATCAAGGAATAAAGAATTGTCCAGTTAAGTATAGATTATAGCCAGGTACCATGGAGCACTCCTGTAATCCCAGCCACTCTGGAGGCTGAGGCAGAATTATGAATTAGAGGCCAGCCTCAGTGATCAGTGAGACCCTGATTCAAAAATAAAAAGGGCTGGGGATGTAACAGTATTACAGTGCCCTATGTTCAATCCCCAGTATCTGCCCCCCGACCCTCACACGCAAAATATAGAACTTGCCAGGGGCAGTAGTGCAAGCCTGTAATCCCAGTGGCTCAGGAGGCTGAGGCAGGAGGATCAAGAGTTCAAAGCCAGCCTCAGCAATTTAGTAAGGCTCTAATTTAGTGAGACCCTGTCTCTAAATAAAATATAAAAAAGGGCTGAGGATGTGGCTCAGTGGTTAAGGATCCCTGGGTTCAATCCTCGGTACCACAAAAAGAAATAAAGAAGTATAGAATTTATGATGTGTTAAATTTAATGGATTAGTTTTGATGTGGTAAATTAAATGTGAAATTTTAAGTTAAATTATTAATGCAATAATAGGTTGTTGTTAAATTATTTAAATTAATATTAAATTTAACGAATTAGACATCTGATGTAGAAAATTGAGCCAATTATATCCCCCTGTTTGTATCACTTTCACTGCTTTCTTTTTTTGTTTTTCTTTGTTTCCCTTTCATCCTTGGTCCTGGTTCCAATTTTTCCTCCTCCCCTTACCAATTGGCACTTATATATCCTTAAAAATGTACATTTCAGCAGGGTGTGTGGCAAAAGCATGTAATCCCAGTGACTTGGGAGGCTGAAGAAGGAGGATCACAAGTTCAAGCTAGACTCCACAATTTAGCAGGATCCTGTCTCAAAATTTAAAAAAACACAAAGTTGAGTATAGTGGTGTCATATCTGTAATTCCCACCAGCCAGGAGGCTGAAGCAGGAGGATCGAAAGTTCAAAGTCAACCTAAGCAATTTAGTGAGACCCTGTCTCAAAAATTAAAAAGAGCCGGGGATATGGCTGGATGGTAAAGTGCTCCTCGGTTCAATTTGCATTACCAAAAAACAAGAAAATATACATTTGTTTTGAAAAAGTTAGTTTGGATTTGTGTATCTGTTTTTAACTAACATTAAGAATGGTACTACAGAGCTCTTTTTGTTTGTCTCACTCAGTACCTTGTTTTAAGATCTGTTCTTACCCATGCCTATAATCCCAGCTAATTGGGAGGCAGAAGCAGGAGGATTGCAAGTTCAAGGTTAGCCTCAGCAACCTGGTGAGACCCTATCTCAAAATAAAATGTAAAAGGCCTAAGGATGCAGCTCAGTGGTAGAGTAGGTGCCTAGGCTCAATCCCAGTAATGCAAAAAACAAATAAACAAACTAAAAACCTATCCTTGTTGCTTGCTGTGTAGCGTAGCAGTTAGGAGTGTGTTTGGTTGTGAGGAACCAAAAGCTGTCTGTAGTGGGCTGATTGCTTAACATCAATCCAAAGCTGCTTTTAGGGTTTCTTCGAAACTACAGGAGCTAGAAAGCTAAAACAGCACTTCCCAGGTTCTCTTGAACAAGGAATCTGTGGTTTAGGTTCTGCTCTTGTGCAAGACATAAATTTGGAACAGAGCAACATAGCTTGGGACATCTGCTTTGCTGTCACAAATCATGACAGCAGCAGGCGGGCTCTGGTGAGTAGCTTCCTGATTCATCAGCTTCCTGTAGTAGGGACTGTTGTTTTCTCATCACAGGCTCATGTGACTCTCAAAGCCAGAAGTTGCTCCCTACACAGAGCTTGCTTTCCCAATCCTTTCTGCTTAAACTTAGCCAGATTCATTTCTTTTGTCTGCAAGTGAACTCTGACATGCATGGCTTAAGCAACAGGGTTTTAGCTGAGTGTGGTGGTTCATGCCTGTGATCCCAGCTACTCACTGCTCCAGAGGTTGAAGCAGGAGGATCACAGGTTCCAGGTCAGCCTCAGAAACTTAGTGAGGCCCTAAGCAAGGGAGACTGTCTCGAAATAAAAGGGCTGGGGGTGTAGCTCAGTGGTAAAACCTTGTATGTTCAACCCCCAGTTTCCTAACACCATTAATTAATTAATTAATTAAGTAAGTAAGTAATTGAATCCTCAGGCCCAGGGGAAAAAAAGAAAGAAAGAAGAAAAAATAGGGGCTTATTTTTCACGCAAGATAAAAACGTTCAGGGATATTAAGCTGTTAGTGTTAAGCAACTAGATGTCATGGCTTGCTCTTACTTTTCCTTTTAATCACAAGATAGCTGATACACCTCAAGATGTGACGGGGTGCCATGAAAATAGAAGAGAGCTCAGTGGACCAGAGGAAGGGGATAATGGGGGGAAGATGGCAAAAGGCAGGAATGGTGGAACACATCTGATCAAACTTTCCTATGGCCAGGCAGTGGCACACGCCTGTAATCCCAGTGGCTCGGGAGGCTGAGAGAGGAGGATCTTGAGTTCAAAGCCAGCCTCAGCAAAAGTGAGGTGCTAAGCAACTCAGTGAGACCCTGTCTCTAGATAAATTACAAAAATGGGATTGGGATGTGGCTCAGTAGTCAAGGACCCCTGAGTTCAATCTCTGGTACCAAAACAAACAAACAAAAAAAACCTTTCCTATGTACATACGTGAGTATACCACAGTGAATTTTACCTTTACATATATCCATGATGCACTAATGGGAAAAAAAAAAAAACCCTCTAAATAAATAGAAGAAAGATCAGTAGAGTAGAGGCAAGGGAACAGGGGGTGGAGGAGGGAATGGAAAGGGGAAGTCATCGGGACACAATTGCAGCAAATTATATTCCATGCTTTTGTAATTATGTCAAAATGAATCCTAATGTTATGTATAACTCTAATGAAATAATAAAAAGCATTAAGTAGAAAAAAAGTAAAATAAAAAATAATCCCAGAGGAAGAGGCTTGAGGGAGGGGGGAAAAAAAAGCTTCTACCCCTCAAGCCATCTCAGTAAAATGTGGTGAATGCACACTATGGGCCTCTACGCAGAAGTCAGATGGTATCTAGTAGATGAGGTCAGACATCTCCCAATTCCCCTTCTTTCTAGTCACCTTTTAGTTAGGTGTGAACATGTAATACAATTTTGACCAGTGAAATGCTAGCAGCTTTCTACTACCATGACAAAATATCTGAGGAAATCAACTTATAGGAAAAAAATGATTTATTTTGGCTCATGGCTTCAGAGATTTCAGTCCATTGTCAGTTGGCTCCATTGTTTCTGGGCCTGTGGTGAGGCCGGGCATAACAGTGGGGGGCCATGGTGGGGCAAAACCAATCACCTCAGCTGCTGGGAAGCAGGGGGCAGGGGCAGAGCAAGAGAGACTACTAATGTGTACAGGACAAAATATGGTTTTGAAAAGTACGCCCACAAGGCCCGCTATCTTCAGCTAGGTCTTACCTCCTATAGTTTTCACCAATTCCCAATAACATCCCCATCTAAGGACCAAGCCTTCAATATGTGAGCCTACAGTTGGATTCCAGATCCAAACTGTAATAGTGGGGTTCCTGAGAAAATCTTTGCACCTTAGCCCAGGCATGATGCACACGCCTATAATCCCAATGCCTTGGGAGGCTGAGGCAGGAGAATTGCAAGTTCAAAGCCAGCTTCAGTGACTTAGCAGGGCCCTGAGCAACTCAGTGAGATCCTATTTCTAAATAATATACAGAAAAGAGCTGGGGGTGTTGCCCAGTGGTTAAGCACCCCTGAGTTCAATCCCTGTTACCCCCCCCAAAAAAGAAAATCTTTTTTCTCTTGATAAAAGATGTGGGGCCCTCTTACTTCATCCTTTCTTTTCTCTTCTTCTGCTGCATAGAATTCCATGGTTTGCATCCACCACATTTTATTTATCCCTTCTTCCAGTGACGGACACCTAGGTTGCCTCCAACTTCCTACCACTACAAATAATGCTTCAGTACTTATCCTTGTACGTAGGTAGTTGTGGAACCAGGCAAGAACATCTCTGAGACTGCTGGGTCTTAGGGCCCGTACATGCTTATTGACCACATACTGTCAGGATGCTCTGTTTTGCAGTGTGCCCCTAGCAGTGCATAAGTTCATCTACATCTTTGCTAACACT